TGTGTGCGTCCACACTAACATGATTTGTTATTAGCTTTTGTAGCGCTCTGACTGACTTAAACTATATCACATCTGTGATCATACAGGACTAATAAATTATTATTATTATTATTATTTGAACTACGGGAACCTACATACAATTACGCGCCTATGAATCCTTATGCGTAATAATATCTTAGTGACACTATCATATTAAAGAGAGGAGCGCGGTTGTATGCTTCTACCTTCAATTTGGAAAACTTATATAGTTTTGTATCAAAATAAAGTGGAGTATCATGACGCATCGTACGCCACTGTTATCGTTGAATACCCTTATGTATGGTGAGGCCCGCGCATAGATATATCAATACATACCGCTGCAGTCGCGCACGATACGTTATACAACTCTCTTTCATTTTGGTACCCAAGTGTAGTTGTATCGATAAAATATTTATAACGAGTAAATATTAATACAGGTGGCCCGCATATCTCAACATTTGACTGCCACTTCTAAATCAAAAATATAACATACTCTCAACGCCGTTTACTGTTAACATCTCTGCGGTATCGGAAATAATTGCAATAGATTTTACTGTAAGTTTTTATAACTTCAACCTAGTTTCCATTTGTTTAAGCAATTATTTACAGTTATTTGGGTATTGATGAGATTACTCAATTGCATGCTAATCATCTAGAACTACTGGCAGTTTTCTTCTGTTGTAAATGCTTTGCTCCTGACTTGATGGGCTGTAGAATATTATATCTCATTGTAATGCGACAAGTATATCCTGCATCAATAGATTGGGGAGGTTCTAGTTTCCACGTCTGAACCAGGTTGCGGGAGAGCTGGGGAAGTTGTGCGAAGGGACAAATATTACTTCCCTCGCGTCAAATATAAAATCTAGGAGTAATACTGATACAGTTGACCATTTGTGTCAGTGGGACGTAGAAGCGGAGTGGGAGCTACACCTGTCACTGTCATGGTTTTGGTTCATGGGCTCGGTGTCCCTGAAATTTCGCTTCTCGAAGTAACGCAACGATCTGATGGAGGGACCCAGGACGCCACTTCCACTAATTCTGAAGCTTACCCTGGTTGTCATCGCTGGAAAGATGTAATTCCAATCAGCATCTATAATCCATCATGTTATTGTGGACTTAGATTAAGGTAGCACCTTTGTCGGGAAGAAATACATGTTCGTCTTTCTACCTTGAAATTTATCACCTTACAGTGTGACAAGCGACTAAAATATAATTGTTTGAGTTGTCAGTACCTTTGCCCAAAATGCTACTAACGATGCAGGCATAAGATTGTTTTTGAAGGGCATTTACAGGCTGGTTGCTGCTGAGTAAATCAGAAACACTGCTGCACCTGACCTCAGGTATATATATATATATAATAATAATATTTTGGAATTTTGTAGTTGTTTTAGTTTTCTATATAATTATGTATAGTCATTCGCTGCACAGTACAAACCCAGTCTTTCAATTTTCGTCTAATTTTTTTCCAAAATGAAGTATTTTTATTTCGTTTGGTACTACATTATATAGTTTAGCTGCTAAGAACTTAAATGATTTTTTGAATAATTTTTTTGTGTGGTCTTGAATATTAGATGAGCCTATTCGATATCGTGTGTTATGCTCGTGTTTATAGGATTTATTTTCATTACAATACTTATGGTATAAGGTGGTGGCATGTAAGACATAAAGTTGTCTTGTATCAAGTATCCCTGTTTCCTGATATAAGTTATTTGTCGGATATAATCTTGGCTTATGGAAAATGGCTTTCAAAACAGTTTTTTGTACTATATTCAGGTCAGAAATATATGTTCTGCAGGCGGCGCCCCAGCTGTGATGCTGTATATTATATGGGTTTCAACTAAGGCATGGTACAGGATTCGCAGATAACTTTCTGTAAGAATGATAGCAAGCATTTTGAGTTTACAGACAACATTTCTAATTTTTCTGATAACATATTTAATATAGTTATCCCACCTTAGATGTGAGACTATAAATATTCCAAGATATTTCAAAGTGTTATCTCTATCGATTTTGGTTTTTTGGCCATGACAATTAACGGAAATTTGTTCGAAGGTAGGTAAACATTTTGAATAGGGTGTAAGTTCAATAAATTTTGTTTTTTTTTTGAAGTTAACTGTTAAAATTTTAGTATCAAACCAGTCAATTATCCTTATAAAATCCTTTTCAGCTGTTTGCCTTAGTGTGCTCCAGTCATCAGCTTTATATAATATGAGGGTGTCGTCTGCAAAACATATAATCTTTCCAGAACTGTTAATTTTGAATAAGTCATTTAAGTAGAGACTAAATAATAATGGGCCTAGTACTGTTCCTTGAGGCACACCACACTTGATGCACATTTTTTTACTGTAAGTGTTAGTGATTTTGACAGTGTTTGCTCGACTTGAAAGGTAATTTTTTAAAAGTATTTGTGACGTTCCCCTAAATCCCAATCTTCCCATAACTTTCCGAAGCTCGACATAGGTAACCGTATCAAAGGCATTTTTTAGATCAACAAAGATACCAATAGTAGGTATCTTTTTTGTTGACAGAGTTAATTTCATCCATTTCAGTCAAAATTGCATCTGTAGTAGATTTTCCTTTTTTAAATCCATATTGGTCAGAACATATAATTCGGTTTCTGTCCAAAAATTGTAATGTCCTTTCTTATAGTAATTTTTCGAAAATTTTGGCTATATTCGATAGTACTGATATGGGTTTATAATTTCATGTTTCCATTCTGTCACCGCTTTTATAAACAGGAGTAATAACTGTTGTTTTAAATGCGTCAGGACAAATTCCAGATTGGAAACACCAATAATTGACGTAAGAAAGTGGTTCGGCTAAGTCGTAGGCTATTATTTTTAAATGCTCAGCCTTGATACCATCTACATCAGGACTTTTTTTTGGTTTTAAGTGATAAGACAGCTTATTGTACTTCAATCGGACTAACGCTTTCTAAAAAGAATGAATTGGGAAGTTGGGTTTTTGGGAACATGTCGTTCAAAACATTTTTTTTAATACTGGCTGCTAAATTTACTCCAACATTTGTGAAAAAATTATAAATTCGTCGGATATTTGTCGTTTATCTGTTAATATTGTTCCATCACGATTCTTAATTTCATCAATATTTGGCTTCCGTTGAACGTCTTTGTCAGATAAGTGATCGACAACCGACCACCGTTTTCTTGGATCAGATTTGGCATCTTGTAATTTTTAGATAAAGTTGGCCTTTTGCTTCTCTAACTACTCGTAGATGGTTAAAAAAAATATATTGATCATATTTACGGAAGGTATCTACACCTGGTGATGCTTTTATTATTTTGTATAGTTCCTGTTTTTTGTTGGCAGACTTTATCAAACCTTTAGTTATCCAGGGATTCCTGCTTCTGTCAAAATTTTAACTCGGTTAGTACTACATTCAATTAAATGCTTTATGCGTTCAGTCAGTGTGTTTGCAGCATCATTAACATTTGTTGGACAGTACACTGCTGTCCACCATTCTAATTTGATATTTGCAAGTAGTTTTTTATTATCGATAAAACACCCAAATTTCACTGATTCATTATTGGAGGTGAATCTACTATTATTTTTTTTTGGTGATGATATAAGTATTACAGTGGGTAAATGATCGGTTATATGGTTTTCAACAATTAATGGTACGTACCGAAAGAAATTTGAAAAATGTTTGATGAAACAATAATCAATGCAAGAACTAGAACTATTATTGACTAATCTTGTTGGTACATTTATATGTGATATGAATCCGTTGCTCTGCATTACAGTGAGATATTTGTTTACTAATTTGGTATCGTGCAGTATATTAATATTCATGTCTCCTATTGTGAGGTCGTGTGACTGTATGGCATTTTTGTTATCTATCAAAAACCTTTCAAGATTCTCTACAAATGTATAAGAGTTTGATGATGGTAGTCGATAGACACATGTGACTTTTACACTTTTGTTATTAATTCTCAATATCAAACCCAACACTGTGATACCGTCATTAAATTTAACAAAATTACATCTATAGTTGATATCATTTCTTACATATACTACCACCCCATCATTCTGATTGTACGTACCATTATTGTAAAGCGTATCATAACCATCCAAATAGAACAAAGATACATCATTAATTTTCCAAGTTTCTATTAATATTATAATATTAAATTTGTGTTAAATTGTAGTCAGAAAGATATTAAAACAGTCAAAATTTTGGTTTAGGCTTAGGATATTCACGTGATATAAACTAACATTGAAATTAGAATATTCTAACCATCTATTAAGTGCATTTGTGTCTTGAGCAATATTTGTATTGATATAATTAACCTGAAAATTATTTACGTAACTATTCATGTAAAATTTTGCAAACGATATGTAGCTCGAAAAACGTAAAAAGGACTAAACGCTCAAAACATTATTCTGGATGAATACTGTTTTTGAAAATATAAATACGACGGGCATTTTTCGTCTGTGGGCGAGTGACCAACATCATTATTCTTATTATGTTTAACGTTATAGTTCATACAGTTAGAACATTTTAAAATGTTTACAGTACAAATTTCACTTCTATGTGCTTGTCCACATTTAATGCACATTTCCGCGCCCCTACATTTTTTGTCTGTGTGACCGAACATCAAGCATTTCCTACACTGCGAGATCTGGTTATTGTCATAGACAAATAAGTTTTGCCAACCTAGTAGTATTCTTGATTTCTTGTTGATAAGTATGTCTCTATATTTTGGAATGGTATGTGTCTTACAAAAGTGATTTCGATTTCGTTTTCATTAATGAATGTATTCTGGGATATGATTACTTCTTTAATTTTTGCTCCTGAAGGTTTTTTTTTCAGTTTTCTAGCCTATGATTTTAATTTTCGGTCTCATGTCTCTTGCTCCTGATATATTAACCTTTAACTTAGTTTCTAGTTCATTTTTCAGTTTCTGCTAATAACATTGCTCAACTTGAATTTCGAGGCCGCCGTTATTATAATTATTTACTTTCTATACCTTGACTTCAATACTTGCTAGATTAATGTTACTATCTAGGTCTTTTCTGGTGTCATTATAATGTTGAGGATTTTCGGAAGTAACTAATATGGATTTGATGTCATTGTTGTTCTTGTTGTTGCTATTGATTTTAGGAGTACTTTGTTTCAAAATTTGTGAGTACGATATATTCTCTGACTTTCTTTTCTCAAGTTGTTCTAGTTGATTAGTTACAATAGCCAAAGTAGATACAACGGATTCCTTCTCTACTATGTTGGCAGAAATCAAGTCATATGCTTCCTGTAGCCTACGGTTTTCATTTACCAATTGATATATAATTCTTTCCATTTCTTCTGAAAGCTGTTTAAGATAATAATTCTCTTTGGCAATAGTTTCTTTGGTACTTTTTTCACTTACGCTAATTTGAATATTGGGTTCTAAAATTTCGTTTTCTCTTTCATTTTTCTTATTTTTGGTCATATTGCATATGAACACTCCTTATATCAATTTCTCATAAAGTTCACGTTGACAGAATATATTTTTCAACAATTGCCAATTTGGTATTATGGCCGCAAAATAGTGTTAGATGATGGAAGGATCTCACCAATTAGCTCCACAAATCTGGCCCACCTCAGGAAATATCAGATTACACAGCAGCAATTTTTGTCGACTAAGAAACTAATTAAGTTGTCGAAACGTTCTAGAGCTAGTTAAAGGTAGATGGCTAGTTTAATATCTTTATCTGTGTTAATGGTTAATAAAAAAATGCACGTGTTCATCTTGCCGAATGAATCACAAACGATTTCGAAATATAAATGTTATTTTTATGCGAAAAACGAAGGTTACGTTTTTTTCTCCTAAAGAAATTCATACCTTTTGTATTTGTAAGTAAATGAACAAATACCCTACGATATTTGAAAAACATACGTTACTATACACATTTTAAAACAAAGCGGATGATCTTTTTGCATAAAAAAGTATTAAACATTAAACTAGTATACTTTGCTATAAAATGCCCTTTGAACTGACCCTGTATATTGCTCAATAGACTAGTAGTGATGGCCGGAAAACAGGTGTTTTGGGATAAATAATTAGAAATTCTCAAAAACTACTTCACAATCTACTCCAAATTTTGTTGTGGTTATTTAGAAGTATGAGTCCTACGAGTTTGAAGAATTTCAAGTACCTGCGAGAAACCATCGTCGCATTACAAACAAGTGCCAAAACCTGCATTTTGCCTGGTTTTTCGGCCATAACATGTTTGCTGTTAGTCGAATCTTTTTACGTGTAGTCTCATTTTGTAGGTCTTATAAATACCTAAAAATCTCATATGAAGAGTATGCTCGTTCCTTTTTTTTTTTTTTTTTATATCGAAACAGCCGCGCAGGCAGAAGCCTAAATGCCGGAACACCGCGGCTGCTATGATGATCCCAAAGAAACCTTGTTAATACGATTTTTGAACTGCCTAAGGTTAGTAGAACTGGGAAAAGCTTCCTCCCGTAGATTGTTCCACAATCTATACACCCTCGGGACAAAGGAGCGGTCATATCGGCCAGTTCTGGATGTACAAAGTTTGATACGGTTAGGATGGGACGCCGAACTCAGGCGGGTCTGTCTGGCAGGCACATCGCGCGGCGGCATCATGGAAGAGAGCTCTGAGGAGCAGAGCCCGTTGGTGTAGCGATAGAAAAGAGCTAGATCGCCGACGGCCCGCCGGTGCGAAAGAGTCCCGAGGCTGTCTGTTAGAGAAGAGTCATCGATCAGTCGGACCGCCCTCCTCTGGACAGCATCGAGCATGGACAATGTAGTCGGGGCGGCAGCACCCCAAATGTGTGAGCAATACTCGAGGCTAGGCCTTACCTGGGCCTTGTATAGAGTGAGAAGGTCATGCGGAGTAAAGTACTTCTTAGCCCTAAACAAATAGCCTAGCTTTTTCCCAGCAGCTGCAGCTATTGAAGAGATGTGTTCGTGCCAGATCAGGTCCTCGGTGATCTGGACTCCGACCAGCCGAAATGAATGGCTCTTCGGTAGAACTCGACCGTCCATCGAAACTGTATGAGCGCTAGGACGCTTTTTGTTCGTCAAAGTACAGTACTGTGTTTTGGAAGCATTGAACTGTACAAGATTGTTGCGTCCCCAAACAGTGATAGCCTCCAGGTCTCTTGTCAGAGAAGAAGCCGTCGCTAGTCTTCTTTTTTCCAGCTCAGCGGCAGAGATCGGCTTGTCACTCTGAATCCCTGCATGCAGAGTGCTGTCATCAGCGAAGCTGTGGATTGGGTTGATCGTGCAGGAAAGGAGGTCGTTGATATGTAAGAGAAATAGTGTTGGAGCCAAGACCGACCCCTGGGGAACACCCGCGTTGACGTTGTGGGATGAAGAGGAGAATCCGTCAATTACCACGGATATCTTGCGGCCAGAGAGAAAGTCAGCCACCCATCTGCAAAGCTTTTCTGGGAGGCCGTAGGATGGAAGTTTGCTCAAGAGGGCAGCGTGCCACAGCTGATCGAACGCTTTCGTGATGTCAAGAGCAACGACATGAGCCTCACCATGAGACTGGATGAGTTTACTCCACAGTTGCGTGACGTAAGCTAGGAGGTCCGCTGTGGATCGTTGGTGCCGGAAACCGTACTGCCTGTCGCTAATCAAGCTGTGACGTTCGAGGTAGTCCAGAAGCTCGCGATTTATGCACCTCTCCATCACTTTACTTATAACAGAAAGCAGAGCTATAGGCCTGTAGTTGTAAGGGTCGGTTTTAGATCCTTTTTTTGGGATGGGCTGTACATGAGCAAATTTCCAGTTTTCTGGGAAGGTGCCGGATTCATAAGATATCTGGAAGAGACGCGAAAGAACTGGAGCAAGCTCAGCTGCACATCTCTTCAGTACAATGGCAGGAATCAAGTCCGGACCAGAAGCTTTGTTGGTGTCGAGCGACAAGAGCACTCGTCTTACGGTCTTATGCCTGAATGTTGTGGGGAACCCTTTGAATTGACGGCACTTGGGCGTTGGTGGGGACGTCCATGGTGGAGTTGGCAGCAAAGATCTTGGCTAGCACTTCCGCCTTGGCCTTTGAGTCGAATACAATAGTTCCATCCTGACACGTAAGTGGTGGAAGGCTACTGTGTGAGAAGTTCTTTTCAATCTGCTTGGCCAGTGTCCAGAAAGACCGACTGCCATTGCGCTGCGACATTACCCTGTGCCTAACTTTTATATCATGCTGGGTTTTGGCATTGCGAACCGCTTCGTTATATTTGTTTCTGGACTCGACGTCGGCTTGTCTGTTCTCTACAGTGGGGTTTTGTAAGTAGGTTCTGTGGGCCTTGATCTTCTGCTGGCGAGCAGTGTCACACGATTTGTTGAACCAGCCGTTGGACCCTGGTTTAGGAACTTTCACTGTGTGAGGGATGTATTCCTCCATTCCCACGTGGATAATTTCGGTTATTGAAGAACAGACAGTCGACGCATCCGCGTCAGTGAAACAGACATCTCTCCAAGGAAAGCTAGAGAAGAAGTCTCTGAGCCCCTCCCAGTCGGCATGTCCGTAATGCCAAGTTTTGCGGCCTGTGCGAGTTTCTGCTGCCACAGCGGCTTCTGACCGAAACCTAACCTCCACAACACCATGATCTGAGTTACCCAGGGGGGACAGGACAGCAATGCTGTAAGGGGTAGGATGCGTGGTCAGAAAGAGATCCAGCAGGCTACTGGAGTGTGACGAGACCCGGGGGAAAAAAGTAGGGCTCGTCACCAGCTGGGTCAGCCCTTGAGTAAGAGCGAACGCTTCGACTGCACGACCTGCTGCATCGGTCTTATTTGAGCCCAACCAAAGCTCATTATGGGCATTGAAATCACCGAGAAGAACTACCTCTGAAGCGGGGTGATTGATGTTCAGGAAGTCGATCTGGACGGCGAGGTATTCGAATAGGTCATCCCAGTTATGGTTCGAGGGAGAGCGATAAAGGCAGCAAATAAATTTGGGTGATGTTTTGGAGTTGAGGCGAAGCCACAGAATGTCCTTCCGGTCTGATTCCAAAGAAAGATCCCTGGAGCAGGCAAGACTGCTGCGGACAAAAGCCACAACTCCCCCGTTCTTTCTCAGGTTGGAGTGCACCTCGTAGTTTGGGAAGTTGAGATGGTTAATCGGTGCAGTCTCTGAGATTTTTGTCTCCGCCAAGAAAAGCACGGCGGGACGATTGGATTGCAGGTAGTGATGAACATCATCAATGTTGCTGTTGATCCCGCAGATGTTCGAAAAACAAATTTTATCTTCGATGTTGTTCCCTCGAGCCCACCCTCCACCCGGACATTCCGAGAGTGGAGTGAGTTTACGTCCGGAGTTTTTAGTGCTCGAGGGATCCATCGTCATTAGTTTCTTTGTTTTGGTAGATAACCGACTGCATAGCTTAGGTGTGGAAACATGCGGACATTTATAAGACACCCTGGGAAAAGCTAGCGGGTGGTACTGCCTCGGTCGACTGGTCCTTGTCTACCACCTTCTTTTTACGTGTTAGTGATGTTAAATAGACCTAAAGTGGCCCGTTGGCGGACTTGTACCGCCACCCGGCAATCGGTACTGAGGTATTCCTTAACGCGTGCGCAATCACTTGGACGGGAAGAAGTTGTATACTGGATACAACAACTTCCGGAACAAGCATTTGCCACGGCCCTCTCTCAGTAGGGCTCACACTTTCGAATGAATCCCAAAAACACGTTTTGTCATTATTTGTTCTCGAATAAAAAGGTTTCTCAAAAATTGGTGTACCCATTTTATGCGTCCATGTTTTAAATACCTCCTTGAACAACTTGCAGCAATAAAACTAATTTTTACAATTATTTCGCAAACCAGGGGTATTTTCATCTAATATGATTAGACTACAAGTACTTTCGAAAATAAAAGATTTAAAACTTTTTTCTTACAAATTCAACATCTCATAGTATGAAACTTCAAGTCAAGTCAAGTCTATTGATATTTTATTTTTTAGTATACAACATCTTTTCACTTTCACAGAACATATTATGTTCGTATTAGCATCTCTTCATAATAAGGAATCATGTCCAAGATACTATCCCGTAATTAACGAACACTCTGTGTTTATATTACATATGAACTTATTTCATGTTATAACGTGCAAAATATGCTTTTTAATCTTTATGACAGCATTATGTAATACTTTGAATATTTAAAATATATTTATTGATTACGAACATCAAAGAAACAGTATCCATTCAAAAGACTGAAAAGTTCAATAAACAGGGAAACATGGTTACTAAAATTACCGAAGTATAATACGAAAGAGACCCATAAAACGTTCACTGCTCCCTAGATGTATTTTAACTCGACCTGGTTATGATGGAATATGTATGTATAAAGTTTGTATGAGTTTTATGTCTTTTGTCCTAACTGCAAAAATGAACTAGAAAGGAATCACGCTGAACCTGAATTCCCCATTTTACTTCCCACGTCTGAACAAGGTAAATATTTTGAC